CAAGATGGCAAAACAGATGGCCAGATCTGTCGCATCTGCTGAGGCAAAAAGAAAAAAGAACTGCGTTGAAAGACAGCCCATGTATCTTTAGGAAGAACAATAAATGAAGATGAGTAATGAAAGTCAAGGTTTTCTAAGCAAGGGGCCCAAAATTAGATGCTGCATGGTTGCTCACTGTGGTCCAGAAAAGAAGAAAGTGCCCTTAGGGACAGGTAGATGAGTCCCAGATTCAGGATCCAACACTGCCAGCCCCCCCACAAACAAAAACAGACTGGAAACTCACCTCTCTGGGTCTCAGCTTCTTCATTTCTAAAAAAAGAGAGAATTAAAGTGGATGGGTATGCTTTGGGAAAGTGGATGTGCCCTCTAGATTTAAGCCTCATGACAAGAGATTGATAAAAAAAGAACACTTAGTTACAGCCTTCTCTTCTCATCATTGCTCTTCCTTTTTCCAAACTCACAGACAACTCTAATTTGGTTAGCAAGACTTTCAACTAACTAGGACACTTTGCAAGCAATTGCTGCTCCCATTCATTCCACGTTTCACCTACGGTGAGACAGGCACATTTAAAGAAGAGGCAAACAAATAGTTCCATGATTAGAAGAAATTTACCAGACTCAACAGAGGATTTGGAGGATGGGGGAGGGGGCCACTGTTTTTTCTTTATTGAAAGTTGGAAAGATTGGTGTGTGTGCGTGTGGGTGTGTGTGTGATGATTTCTTTGTTTTTGTTCGTACTAATTATCCAGATGTTTGTCTCAATGTTCCACTTTACACTTCCAATCTTAGTCATTTACTTTCAAAGGCATTAAAGGAAATGCAGCTTCGCAAGTAAATGCCAAAGTTCCCTCTGTGTCTCCCTCTCTCCCTGGCTGCCTTTCAGAACTAGGACTGGGTGAACTTGCAAAAGTGTTTGTTTTCAGCACCCTTGCTGTTCCTAAGATTTGTCTTACTGACCCCTTTTAATACTACTCTCTCCCCAAGCCCTCCTGATTCCATTGCTAAATGCTCCCATCCCCAAGCTGCCCCTCTTACCTACTCAGGCTTCTCAATCCTATCCCACGACCTCATTCATTCTCTTATCTCAATTCCTTTCTGTCGATTGCATTCCCTTTTAGCCTCAGAAGTGGTAGGCCAGTTTACTCTGACAAACTCATCCGACTAAGAGGTTTGGGAGCCCTAAGTATTTAAAAGAGACTGATCCAGCCACAGATAAAAAACCTTAACACTGCCCTGTCCAATATGGTAGACACATGCCATGTGTGGCTATTTAAATTTAAATATAAATTAAAATTAAGTAAAATTTACAATTTCATTCTTTGTGAATCTGGCACTTGTCACATTTTTAGCTATAAGAACATTTCTGTCCACACAGATAATCCTATTAACCAGTGCTGCCTTAATATAAAGGAATTAATAGTAAGGGTAGACTGAGAATGTGATCATTATTTCTGTGCTGAGAAGCTCTACAGGTGCTAAAAATGAACTTACTTGTGTGATGTAGGTGTACAATCAGGAATTGGGGTAGGAAGTGACTGGATGAGGGAGAGATAACTATCCTTCAATGATTACCTAGTATATGCCAGAGTTTGGGCACAAGCAGACCAAGCGAAAATAAAGTAGAGGAGGATTCTCTTTTTATATTAGCAGGACATTCCAGTAACTCATTTTACAGATGAGAAAACAAGAGCATAAAAGAGGCTAAGTAATTTACCCAAAGTTTTTAAACCAGAATACAAAAATTGAATCTGCTCTCATTCCAGTGTTTTTTCTACTGTACCATGCTGCCTATAAATCTTGGTCACCAATGAAAAGCAGCTAGGACGCCCAGGCACTGTTTCACAAAGCTCATTTGTTTTCCTTCATCAAAGTGGTGAATGCAAAGCAATAAATATTTTTTAACTTTTTATTTTGGAATAATTGTAGATTCACTTGCAACTGTAAGACATAATACAAAGAGATATTCCATATTCCTTTAATAATTTTTTAAATCTGTTACATACTAGACCACTTACTTGGTGTTGGGGCCATAGGGGCAAGATTGTCCTTACTCTTGAGGACTTTAGAGGCTAGGTACATATAAATGAATCACTAAGGTAGAGTTGGTTAAAACAAAAATGTAATGCTATTTTCACCAATTAGCAAATAATAATACTAGTAACAACATGCTACCTAAGCTGCTATTACAAAAACACTTAACTTCTCTGTCTCTCAATTTTCTCATCTGTAAAATAGGAGTAATAATAGCACTGATGCTGTAAGATTAGTGTGAACATTAACACAGTACAGTACCTGGGCATTCTGGTTACTACTAATATTACATCAATTATTAGTATTATGTTCTCTATTTTTCTACAGTGCACTTATATAACTTTTGTATGAGAAAATAATTTTAACTGCTTTAGTTCAAATAAATGTCTCATGCTGTAAGCTAGTGATATGTACTATCTCAAATGAGAACACTGAGATGGGGTAGCTAACCTACCATGGAGAAACACAGAGATGTCACAGAGAAATCACTAAAAGGGAAGAACAATGTCTAAACTGACTTTTAGAGGCAAGGATTGAGGAAAAAGAAGGGAATTCAACACAAGTTTGTGTAAGCAGTAACATATAATTTCAAGGGAAAGAGAGGAAATTAAAAATATGAAAATGGTGATACTTTTACTTTTTATGACAGTATAATTGGTTCAGAAAAGGTGGATGGACATGACATGTGAAAACCATTATGGCAGTATACAGCACAACATAAAGAAAAGATGAAATAGGAAAACAGTTAAGTGTGAGGCTAGAGAAAAACATCAATATTGTATGCCAACAGAAGAACACTAGAAATACATTTAGGAACTTAAAGGCTAAGCCTGGTAAGAAGCTTTATCATAAGCTTCTAGGTCTGAGGCCTACTGAAAGCTAAACAACACCAATAAATGTTACTAGCAAGTGTGCACTTCATAGTTACAGTTACCTGTCTCAACAACTTTGAAGCACAGTGAAAACTAAACTTAGTGATAAAGACAGCACTGCAGATCAGCAAGGAAAAGAGAGATTATCCAATTAATGTGTTAAGACATCCATATAAAAACATGGAAAATAAAGTCGGGCTCCTATTTCAATTTATACATCAAAATGAATTCCTGAGGAACAAAATACTCAAATGTGAAAAATAAATAAATAATTCTAAAATTTGTAAGAATTAGAGTGGTGAAGACTTTTCTCAGATTACACAACATCCAGAAGCCATCAAATAAAAAGTTTACATGAGAAAAATCTCACTACAGAATAAACTGACAGAAAAAAATTAGCAATTTCCATCAAAGGTAAAGGGTCTGTTTTGCAATAGATTAAGATCTTCTACAAACTAATTTTTAAAATATCAACAATTCAATAGGAAATATAGGCAAGTAGATGAACAGCTCCCAGAAAAAGAAATAATTGCTCTTAATCATATAAAAAATGCTCAATCACATTTGTAATGGGAGAAATACAAATTAAAACTAACCCATACATTTTCACCCATAAAATTGGTAGAGTTCCAAAAGTGTGATAATATATTCTCCTCCATTGACAGTGTATTAGACTGCATTTGTAATTTTGCTTGATAATTGGTGAAACTTTTATGAAGAGAAATTTGGCACTATCAAGCAAAATTACAAATGCAGTCTTTTTGACCTAGTTATTCCACCTCTAACAATTTATCGTTCATATATCTTGAACACATATAATGTATGTATAAGGTTATTTGTTTATAAGGACAAAAATAGAAAGCAACCTGAATATCTATCACTATAAACTGCTAAGTGACTATTTTTAAAATGTGGCAGCTATTTATGTTCAGATATGACAACACCTCTAATATATATGGTTAACTGGAAAAAGTGTATAGCATCCCATGATTAGTATTGATAATGAAGAGCTACTGAGATGACAGATATTGCTTGTATATTTCTAGAAGGAATATTTCTAGAAGGATAGCCAAAAAGTAAGAAGTAACAGTAGTTGCTTCTTTGGAGGCACACTTGATGGCTGGAAATTAAGGTTGGAAGAGAAATCAACTTTCTACTTTGTACTTCTTGGTTTTTTATCATGAACATGTGTTCACTATTCAACATAAATTGATTCAAAAAAAATTTACTGCTCAAAGCAAACCCCTTTTTCTTCCTTGCCCCCTTATATTTTTTTACTTGCTTTTGTGTCCTTGCATATTTATATCCCCAACAAAACCAGGAGCTCTTTGAGTGCTACAACGATGTCTCTACTGTGTCTGCAGCTCCAGCATTAGTGCAGTGCCCAGTCATGAAAAGGGTTTTCTTTAAAAGCAACGTTTTGAACGACAATGAAGACCCTTTCCTTGGAAGGAAGTCTGGTCACCTTTAAATAGGTCTCAAAACAGCTGAGCAGGGCTATAAGGCCCTAAAAACATCTTCCAACCACTCCTAGGATTCAACCAGAAACATATCCTTTAAGAGAAAGATAGAAGAGAAAGAGGCTAAAACTGACCTTTAGATCTGACTGAACTCCAGAGCAGTGCTAAGGAGAATCTATTTGAAAAAAAAATTTTTTTTTGATCATGTAAAAGGAAGAGAAGGAAATCATTTAATATATTATATGATCTAAACAAAGAGCTATGCTTCGGGAAACTGACTTGTCATGAAGTCAGTGGTAAGCATTCTGTTGCTGTCATCCCTGTTAATGATGGTTTACCTAGGCAGAGGCTGCAATCCCAACCACCAAGTTTAAGACACAGGTATCCATATTCTATAACTAATTCAGTTGATTTCATCTTCTCACACATACACCAAGCACTTTCTAAGAGCAAGGTTGAACGACATTTTTATTAGCAATAATCTCTGCCTTCTTCTGACTATCTAGAGATTTAAGACAAATAATCATCCTCTGTGTCACAGAGTGGAGGGGGAGGGGGAGGAAATGGGCTAAGAGGCTCTAAATCCCTCCTAACACTTGCTCCTTCCCTATCAGCAAGATTGGAGCAGTCAACAGCTGACTGTTCAGACCCACCGGCTGTGCTGTCCTGCCAGGGGCCTGAAGACGGGCCTATCTGATGGCAAAGGTTTGCTAGGTATGCTGGTCCAGGCTGGTTTCTCTGAGACGGTGCAGGCCACGTGATCCTCCTAGAGGCAGTGAGCAGGCCCGGGTCCCTACCACAGCCAGGAGGGAAAAGCAAGGGATCCGCCTCCCGCAGCCATGCTGAAACAGAGCGACAGGAGACGGTCCTGGAGCTACAAACCCTGGAATACTACGGAGAATGAGGACGCGCCCCACGCAGGGGGCAGCCAGCACCGCAGGAGCGTGTGCTCCGTGGGGGCCCGCTCCGGCTCCCAGGCCAGCATCCCAGTGTGGACCGAGGGCAACTACAACTACTACATCGAGGAAGATGAGGACGAGGAGGAGGAGGACCAGTGGAAGGACGACCTGGCCGAGGAGGACCAGAAGCCACAGGAGGTCCCTACCGCCCAGTCTGACAGCAACAGCGACGCTCCTGCCCTGTCGACCACGCTAAACGTGAATGTGGGCGGCCACAGCTACCAGCTGGACTACTGCGAGCTGGCCGGCTACCCCAAGACGCGCCTGGGGCGCCTGGCCGCCTCCACCAGCCGCAGCCGCCAGCTCAGCCTGTGCGACGACTACGAGGCGCGGACGGACGAGTACTTCTTCGACCGCGACCCGGCCGTCTTCCAGCTGGTCTACAACTTCTATGAGTCCGGCGTGCTGCTGGTGCTGGACGGGCTGTGCCCGCGCAGCTTCCTGGAGGAGCTGGGCTACTGGGGCGTGCGGCTCAAGTACACGCCGCGCTGCTGCCGCATCTGCTTCGAAGAACGGCGCGACGAGCTGAGCGAGCAGCTCAAGATCCAGCGCGAGCTGCGCGCGCAGGCGCAGGCCGAGGAGGCCGAGGAGCTCTTCCGCGACATGCGCTTCTATGGGCCCCAGCGGCGCCGCCTCTGGAACCTCATGGAGAAGCCCTTCTCGTCGGTGGCCGCCAAGGCCATCGGGGTGGCCTCCAGCCTCTTCGTGCTCATCTCCGTCGTGGCGCTGGCGCTCAACACCGTGGAGGAGATGCAGCAGCAGGGAGAGCAGGACGAGGGCGGCCCGGACCTGCGGCCCATCCTGGAGCACGTGGAGATGCTGTGCATCGGCTTCTTCACGCTCGAGTACCTGCTGCGCCTGGCCTCCACGCCCGACCTGCGGCGCTTCGCGCGCAGCGCCCTCAACCTGGTGGACCTGGTGGCCATCCTGCCGCTCTACCTGCAGCTGCTGCTTGAGTGTTTCACCGGCGAGGACCACCAGAGCGGCCAGACGGTGGGCCGCGTGGGCAAGGTGGGCCAGGTGCTGCGCGTCATGCGGCTCATGCGCATTTTCCGCATCCTCAAGTTGGCGCGCCACTCCACCGGGCTGCGCGCCTTCGGCTTCACGCTGCGCCAGTGCTACCAGCAAGTGGGATGCCTGATGCTCTTCATCACCATGGGCATCTTCGCCTTCTCCGCCGCCGTCTACTCCGTAGAGCACGACGTGCCCGGCACCAACTTCACCAGCATCCCCCACTCCTGGTGGTGGGCCGCGGTGAGTGCCAGGGCCCTGGGCTTCTGCGTCCTCTTCCCCAGCCCGGCAGAGAGGTGCTCCTCCCTTCCCTTGGTTATCAACCATCGGGCTTTGGCCTTTGATCTTCCTCCCCCACCCCCCATTGCTGCATGCAGCTAACAAAATAGCAGTGGATGGCAAAGGGCTGGGAGGATGGAAAGACAGTCTCTGTTACCCCCGAAATATCCAAATCTCGATTTAGTCTTAAAATCCTTAACAGGCCGGGTTCAGTGGCTCAACCCGTAATCCTAGAACTTTGGGAGGCAGAGGCGAAGACAGGAGGATTGTTTGAGGCCAGGAGTTGGAAACAAGCCTGGGCAATGTAGCAGGCTCTGTCTCTACAAAAAAAAAACTTAAAAAAAAAAAAACTCTTGACAGGCAGATTTTAAGGAGGTTTTATTGTTCATGGATATGGGACGGTTCATTATCATTATTGTTATTTACCACTTAATGAACAACCAATGTCCTAAATGGTATATGAAGTTTATCTTATTTCATCATCACAACCCTGTTTCATGGTTATGAGCATTATTTTTAAAAAAAAAAAAGGACAACTAGAAGGGGCTTCAGCGTTTGAAGTGTAGATTTACACAGGGAATAAGGTGAGATTGACTAAACAATGTAGAACTTAACTCAAATCCCACAGTCTCTGGTTCCAGTTAAATCTAAATGTAGAGGCAGGGCACGGTGGCGCACGCCTATAATCCCAGCACTTTGGGAGGCTGAGGTGAGAGGATTGCCTGAGCCCACAGGTTCGAGACCAGCCTGGGTGAGACCTCGTCTCTATGATAAATTTAAAAAAAAAATAATCAGCAGGGCGTGGTGGCACATGCCAGTAGTTCCAGCTACTCAGAAGGCTGAGACGGAAGGATCACCTGAGCCCAGCAGGTCAAGGATGCAGTGGCCGTGAGACTCTGACTCACACACAAAAAAATTAAATATGGAAAGAAACATCTAAAACTGAAACTTGCACTAACTTCACTAAAGTTCTTTCAGTTCCCAGTATTATTGCTTCATTTTATAGCTAAAAGAATTGAGGTACAGAGTGTAAATATAGACACACAGCTGGAGGTAGCAGAGCCAGTATTGAGAAACTAAAGTCTATCCAACTCCAAAATCCATGGCCTTTCCACACCAGCATCATTCAGGCTTTTTGCATGCCTTGCTTAATTGCACAATTAGTGTATTAGTGATTATTATCATTGTTTCCTTTGGTGTTTGCCTTTTTATAATAATTTACGCCAGCCGGGCTCAGTGGCTCAGCCTGTAATCCCGCGCCTTTGGGAGGCTGAGGTGAGTGGACTGCCTGAACCTGCGGGTTCGAGACCCACCTGGGCAACTTGGCGAGCCCTCATCTCTACAATAAATAAAAAAATTATCCGGACGTGGCAGCATGCGCCTGTAGTTCCAGCTACTTGGAAGGCTGAGGCAGAAGGATTGCCAGAGCCCAGCGAGTTGAGGCTGCGGTGGCTGAGAGCGGCCACTGCACTCCAGTCTGGGTGACAGAGTGAGACTCCAACTCAAAAAATAAAAATAAATAAATAAATAATTTACACCATTTACTCAAATATCTGTATTTCTGGTATAGTAGATAGAATCCTGGAAATAAATGCTAATCAGGTTTTCTCAGATCAATGAATTAGTTGGCATATATACGGGAAAGAATTGGATGTATTGTTTCCTTACTTCTCTTTTAAGTAAATTGTTTGCAGTGCCTTTCAAGTCATTAAGCAAATATAACTGGTTTTCCCATGTTAGAAAGTAGATATTGTTGGCCAGGCTCAGTGACTCAGCCTGTAATCCCACACTTTGGGAGACCGAGGTGAATGAATTGCCTGAGCGCACGGGTTCAAGACCCGCCTGGGCAACTTGGCAAGACCTCATCTCTACAATAAATCAAAAATTAGCTGGGCATGGTAGCACGTGCCTGTAGTTCCAGTTACTTGGAAGGCTGAGGCAGAAGGATCGCCGGAGCCCAGCAGATCGAGGCTGTGGTGGCCGGGACGGTGCCACTGCATTCCAGTCTGGGTGACAGAGTGAAACTCCAAGTCAAAAAAAGAAAGTAGATATTTTCAACATTAACATTGTGTATGTCAGAACCTACAGTCTGCTATGAATTTCTGAGACAAAGTGTAGTGTAGCATGATGAAAGATTTAGAGAACCTGATTCCAGTCCCAGACCTGCCAGTTATTAACCATGACTCTGAATAATTAACTGTGAACCCTCACTCCCTCCCTCCCTGTTCTCAGTTTTCTCACCTCTAAAAGGGGAGGTTGGACATGTAAAGGTCTACAGTCCAATGAGTCTCCCTTCCCTTGAAAGCAGAGAGTTCTTATGTACTCCAGGATTTGTGAGCTTTCTTCAACAACAGGATGACGTTAGGCTCTTCCAATTGAGCTAGCCAAAGGCTGCTTCTCTGATCATATTCCAAGTGATGAAAGGTCATCCCCATAGTAGATAAACCATGTGTACAGATGGAGCTCATGGAGGATAATTTGTCCCCAGCAAATGACATTTACTTTGGAGGTGACTAAAGCTAGAAGGCAAAAAAGCAAATCCACATGCTGATGATATAATACAAAGTTTGAGAGTCAAATTCCCATTCAACCAAATATCTTAAAAGGCTAACATAGATAGGCACTGTGAATTCTTTGGTACTACAGTTTTAACACAAAAAAGTTTTTTAACCTATTGTATGTTAACATAATTTTTGTATAAGAATTATGTTAGTAATATTGAATTTTTCCTTTAAAAATTTTTCTGAAGTGAATATTCATTGATTTTATTTAATTTCCTGATCTGTTTAATGTGCAGTGAAGTATAAAACTTTCAAATAGGCCGGGCTCGGTGGCTCAGCCTGTAATCCCGCGCCTTTGGGAGGCTGAGGTGAGTGGATTGCCTGAGCCCACGGGTTTGAGGTTAGCGAGACCTCATCTCTACAATAAATGAAAAAAAATCAGCTGGGCGTGGTGGCACATGCCTGTAATTCCGGCTACTCGGAAGGCTGAGGCGGAAGGACCGCCGGAGCCCAGCAGCCCGAGTCTGTGGTGGCCGGGAGCGGCCACTGCACTCCAGTCTGGGCGACAGAGTGAGACTCCAACTCAAAAAAAAAAAATACTTTCAAATATCCCCTTTTTTATGTTAACTAAGATTATTTTACTCAAGGTCAATGTTTTCCTTAAATTTTACAAAAATCGAATCACCAGTTTTTATCATAACAAATTTTACCAATGATTGTTTTTACCAAAGTGAGTCATTATCAATTAAAGACTGATAACTTGTATTTGTTTCTAAACGAATCTATGAAAACAGTAGGAGCAATATTCTTTGAATATCCTAGGACTTCTTTATTCCTCAGGACTGATATGTTGTTAATCCAGTTCTTCTCTGAACTTCTAATTATACTGTATTATACTATATTATAATGTATATTAATGGTCCACATGCTCATTACAGCAAAGAAAAAAATGCCATCAAAATGATGTGGGCAAAAGGTCTTGTTTTCTATATGTACACACAAAGTGAAAAGATGCAAGATATTAAGACAAATTTTTCATGGAACCCCAATTATCTGCCTTATTCATTCATCCTCCATCCAAAAGCAGTTGACAGCTGTGGCTCAGGCATTTGGTGCTCCAACAAGATTTGAAGTACCTCCAAGTAGTATTCTGAACACTAGGGATACAGAGTAATAGAAGAAAGAAAAGATAAAGGTTTTTTTTTTTTGTTTTTTGTTTTGGTCTGTTTTTGTTTTTCTCTCATGGAGCTTACATTCCAGGGGAGAAAGACAGATGATAAATAATTTCAGATATTGGTGTGTCTTTTGTAGCATAATAGGATAGAGTGATTTGGGTGAGTCTATCTTTAATGAGATATTCAGAGAAGCCCTCTTGGAGAAGATGCCATTGAGATAAAATTGAATGATTAGAAGAAATTCATCTAAATACACATGACTAAACAGACATGAGAATCTGAGGATTCCTAAAAATAACTTTGATCTGTGGTCTCGAAGCATTTTATTTGATCATACCTCATAATTTTAAAAAGTTTTGAGCACATACCCATGATGTTTATATATTCAGTTATTTATAAATATGTCAGAAGTTATTGATTGCTGTGATAATGATGCATCACAAACCACCCCAGAACTCATGGCTTAAAACATCAAGCATTTATTTAGCTCATGAATTTAAAGATCAGCATTTAGTCGGGCTTCAACTGGAAGATTCTTCTCATTCATAAGGCTGTTGTCACTCATTCACATGGCTGATTATCAGCTGGCATGAAGAGAGACACTAGGCCACATGTCCCCAATCCTCCAGCAACCATGTAGCCATGGCTGTAGCAAAGGATAAGAGGAAGAATGCAAGCCTAGTCATGCAAACACTCTATTATAAGCTGCTTCTGTTGATGTCGTTTGTTCAACTCATTGGCCAAAGCAAGTCACATGGCCAAACTCAGAGTCAGAGGGCAGGGCAGATTAATCCACTCACTATAGGAAAGCACTGCAAAGTTATATGGCAAAGAACTTGGGTATAGAAAGACATAAAGAATTAGGTTCAATAATATAATCTTCCTACTGCTGCAGTATATCACAGCTCAAAGTATTATACACATCAGAAAGGATACACTCAAACTGAGTTACACTCACAAACTTGAGCTACAGCTAAAAATTTTAAATGAGGTAAAGGAAAATATGATTGATGTTTTCTTCCATCATTCTGAGGCTGTCTCCTTTGTGGAATATTCATGTCACATTACAGACAGATTCTCTAATCCATTCTTTGTGTAATTTTAGTTCTTTCAACAATCCCAAATCTGACTTGCTTTTAATAATCTTTCCTCTCTCTATGCCAAGGATCCTGCAACCTTTCTCTGTAATTCCAACTCAAGGTTTTGGGAGGAATACAGTAATTTTCATTATTGTGAATTCTCCTGCAGCTGCAAAACAAATCCCTCATGGACACTTATGTCTGCAAAT